CTACCAAAAACAAAAATGAATTTCTTAACCCAAATAAAAGGGCATCTTCAAACCTACCTAATTCATACACTATAGACAAAGGTTTGAGTGACCTGCAAAAGTCCTTCTGAGAGTTCTGGATATTTATTAACTGCTGTGGCTGCGGCTGCTGCTACTGCTAATCATAACAGGAGAAGCCACTACTTAATGCATAGTGTTTTGCCAGCCATGAAATAAACCCTTTCATGCATTCTCTTATTTAAATCTGACCCCATTCCTGTAATATTAGTTACTATTATTACTCCTATTTCATAAATGGGGCTGTGAGAGGTTAAATAATTTACACACGGTCACACTAAATATAAGTGGTGTCTTGAATCCATTTGGTTGAGCTGACTCTGAAATCTATGTTCTTAATGACTACACGGCACTAGCTGAATATCTCAGGCTCATGCAATGCATACAATTCCTCTTTTTACTTGGGACCTAAGAAAATGGCAGCCCAGGCCTCAGAGTCAAACACTCAAGGTACATTCACTTTCTGCCTTGTCCAGAGTTTGATTTCTTTCAGGACCTATACAGTTCTTCCAAGGACTCACAGACAATAGAGAAAATACCGCATGCACACACCACTGGGTAGAAAGATGTAAGTGTTAATTATCTTGTCATTTGGGGCTGCTTTTATACGCCTCTGTATAGTTACTTGAATTTTATGTATCATTTCTTTAAGATTTTTTATAGACCACTGAGCATCTAAAGAAAAAAAGAATTAGGGGGATGGTATAGCAAAAGACATAGAATAGAATTCTTTCTTTTAAAGTAAAATAAATGTCCGTGGAAAGTTTCTTGACAGACAAATTACTGACAACCAGAAATGAAACATTAAAACTTCTTAAATCAATGAAACTTAGTGGTTCCACAATATATGGACAAAAAAAATTTCAGTGGTAATATGGTTATTGGAGGTACTGTCATGCCCTACAAATGCTGGCTTCAAGCTGATTCCTGAGTCTGAAAGGCTATTATCAAATGGCTATTCAGATACCGTACTGGCTCTCTGGAACCGCTTTTGCATGGATAACAAACTCTGTTTCCACCCTTTCATTCATAAATACAATATTGTACTGTATGTAAAGTGATCTCTCCACCTCTTAGTCTTAATGGAAAGCTAGCTCTCTGCCAAGGAAACCAATTTGCCTCTACTTCCCTCAGGTAGAAGATGCTCCTTCTTTGACATACAAGGTACTTCAGAATCAGGCCATAACATAGGCATCTTCCTTCCTCCCCTGTGCTTCTCCTAGACCATCACTCCTCTTCTTCAAGGCTCCTATATTTTAGCTTTATCACCTCCATTCCTCTTTATCTTTTAGTTCTGACAAAATGCAGTCATGTAGTCCTTCCCAGTCATTCATCAGACTTAGTTGCTGAACCAATGACATTGGCTGGTTGCCTACTCCTACTCTATATAGAGAGATGAAGTTCTACTCTTTTCTCAAAACTCAGAAATGGATGACTTCATGCTAAATAGCAAAAACCAATCTTGATTCGTCTAGCCAATCATTATGTTTTCATCCTCCAAGTAACTAATTGGTTAAAACAGAGGCGTGTAAAACAATTTTGGTTAAGTAGATGCATGGAATCTGGCGGACTATTTCTAGAAAAAGTTCTGTGGCTGCTGGATATTATCATTTCTGAATATAATCCCTGGAATTGTACTTATATCTGAATGATGAGATCATGGTGACTTTTATTTTCTTTTTCTACTTTTCTTTTTCCCCAAAAAAATTCCTCAAAAAGAAGTTTTTCTTTCTGCAAAATATAAAATTTTGTAAATTATTGAATATGTTTATATTCAGTTTTTTAAAGGCTCTGTCTGCTATTTTCAACATTTCTGTTATCAGTGGGTCTATTTCTATTGCCTGTCCTTTCTTCTTATGGGTCACATTTTTTCCTGTTTCTTTACATGTCCAATCTTAGCTTTTTGCTGTGCAATTGTCAATGCTATATGGTTAAGAGTCTGAATTTTTTTGTGTGTTCCTCTTCCTTCAAAGACAGATGAGTTGTGTTTTGGCAGGCAATTATTTTATTGGTAGATTACCTTTATCTTGTCAGGCCTCTTTTAATTAGGCTTTGTTAGGGTGGATCAAGATTGGCTCTTACTCTAGAACCTGAGCACTCTTAAGGTCTAACTTTTGGGGGTCTTACTGAATGTACAAGATAATTAGCTGGTCTCTCAACTCTGACTGATCAGAATTCCAATTTCTCATAGCACTGTGGGACCTCTAGCATTCCTACTAAGCCCACAGATCCTCAGAGGCTGTTCTCTGCCAATCACAGAATTTTAACCTGCACATGGCAATTTAGTTTTTGACCAAGGGCTCAAGGGCTCTCCGATGCAAACTTCTAGAGTTACTTCTCTAAACAGCTCCTTGCTCTCTTGTATCCTGCCCCACAAATCCCAGCTGCCTCACCAGCCCTATATGCCGATCTCTTTTTTATTTTGTTTTGTTTTGTTTTTTTCGATGTAAAACACTGCTTTTTATTTTGGCTCTACTTTCCTGTGCTGCTGTTTGGATAGTACCCTCTGATAGAAAACGAGAGTGAATGTCAAGTTTACCTTGTGCATTTCCCCTTTCTGAAAGATCACAGCTTTGTGCTGTCTGCTATCCAATGTGTGAAATAAACTGCTTTATACAGTTTATCCAGTTTTACAGTTATTGATAGCAGAAAGGTAGCTTTGAAACCTGTTCCTCTGTGGTGACTGAAACTGGAAGTCTCTACTAAGTAAGTAATTAAAAACAGCATAGCCAATAAAACCTTAATTTCTAGCCACCAAGAGTCAAGTGAGGGAAACCAACAGGCAGTAAAAATAAAAAGGTGGGGAAGAAGTATTAGCAGATTTTTAGTATTTTCCACTATTTTAATTTTCTTAGAATCAAAAAAAAAGTCATCATATCATTTTTGTTCATTTTCATTTCTTGCTGACAGCACAATGAACACCAGAATGCTCTTTATTTCTTCCTTCTTCTTCCTAACCAGAACTAATTTTGTGTTCAACTCCAAGGGCATGATTCATGATGAACCAACTGTCCCAATTACAATGGTCCTCTATCACTTTTCCAGATACTCAGTCTCCGGCCTCCCTTAGAGCCGGAGGTGACCGTACAACTGTATGATGACCAATGAGATACAACAAAGTAGTCTGTTAGGAATCTCCTGAAAAGGTTTCAATTATCTTAATAAAAGGAATAAGTGACACTGGGCTCTTTTTCCTGTCTTGAACGTGAATCTCCTCTTCTTTTTTTTATTGAACTATAGCTGACATACAATATTATATTAGTCTCGATGGCACGGCATAGTGGTTTAATAGTTACATGCAATGCAAAATGCTCACCACAAGGGTAGTTACCATGCCACCATACAAAGGTATTACAATATTATTGACTATCCTCCCTAAGCTCTAATTTTCACCTCTGTGACTTTCCCTATTTCATAACTAGAATTTTGTACCTCTTAATCCCTATCACCTATTTATCCATCCCCCACTCTCCCTCTGGCAACCACCAGTTTGTTTTCTGTATTTATGAGTCTATTTCTTTTTTTTTTAATTTGTTTTATTGTTTAGATTCCACATTTAAGTGAACGTACGGTATCTGTCTTCTTCTCTTAGCATAATACTCTCTATGTCTATCTGTGTTGTCATGAATGGAAAGATTTCATTCTTTTTTATGGCTGAATTCAGTACAATTCCATTGTAGATATATACCACATCTTCTTTATCCATTCATCTATCTATGGATACTTAGGGTGCTTCCATATTTTGACTATTGTAAGTAACGCTGCAATAAACATAGGGCTGTGTGTATCTTTTCAAATTAGTGTTTTTGTTTTCTTTGGGTAAATACTCAGAAGTGGACTCACTGGGTCATATGGCATTTTGGGGTTTTTTTGAGGGAATGTGAATCTCTCCTGACTATCATATAATACATATATGAGAAGGAATAATATGCATGAGGAGGAAAATTCCACACTCTAAGTGTGGCAGAGGAGAGGGAACAAAAGATCCTGGGTCCCCTAAATACCACATGATTTCACTCACATGTGGAATCTAAAAACCAAAACAAATGAATAAACACACAAACAGTAGAATCAGACCTATAAACCCAGAGAACAAACGGCTGGTTGCCAGAGGGAGGAGGGGTGGAGGGATGGGCAAAATGGGTAAAGGAGAGTGAGAAATGCAGGCTTCCAGTTAAGGAATGAATAAGTCATGGGAATAAAAGGCACAGCATAGGGAACACAGTCAAGAATATTGTAATAGCCTTCAATGGAGACAGATGGCAGCTGCACTTGTGGTGAAAACAGCCCAAGGTATATAGAAGCTGAATCACTATGTTATACACCTAAAGCGAATATAACATTGTGTGTCAACTATACTCAAAAACAAACAAACAAACAAACAAACAAATAAATAAATAAAACTTGAGTCCTTGATGACATCACTGAGCAACTAAATCAACACAGCAACTCACTGCCTCGAGAAAAATAAAACCTATGTTTTTAAACCACTCTAACATTTTCTATTTTTACCTGCAATAGAAAGCATTTCTGATTCACAAATGCACACGCATTTGTTCTTTAGACTAAGAAGAGTTTGCAGATAAGATGTAAAAATAGCCTTAAAATATAACATAAAAAAAAGTGACTGGGAACTGCATTCTTCCGAAGTCTTCAGACTAATCAGGTTTTCTTTGGTGCCTATAAAACGCACGTCTGCCTTATCTCCCACTCTAGATTGCAAATTCGTTTGTGGCCAGAGATCTCTGTTCTACATGTGGGCCTAGGCACTCTGGGTGCTCAAATCAGCTTGACGATAGGCCATTTCTACACATCCTTCAAGTTGTCTCCCGTATTTGTCGACCCCATCGGGAACAAAGACCCCACAGACTTAAACTTCTTGGTTTTCACAGACGTGAGTACACAGGTGAAACAAACAAGTGAAGGGTGGTTCACTATCTTACGTTCACATTCTCTGACATCCAAGTTGAACTGCTGCAATGCTCCCAAGGTGAGCTGTCTTACTTCGGCTTCCAGCAACAGCTGCATCAAGGATGTGGCCAAATGCTTGCAAGCTGACATACATGCTGTCTGGGCCACTTTTCCCTGAAATACAAGAGCGTAAATCATGTTAATGGATTACAATGAAATTCCAACAAAAATGACAACTCATTTTTCAGTTAGAGATTTCTTTAAGGTTTTCTCCATCGTGATAGCCTCGGCATTCAATAATCTTGGATTAATAGCACCTGGTGGCAACATCTTAAATATTAGCTTCGTCACCCTGAGTTATACAGCTGTAACATTAAACTAAAATTCACAAAGCCCAGATGTTTAACATCCAAGCGCTTTTACCTAAACAACAGATAAACAACATTCAAAATTTTAATTAAACAGAGAAGGATTTTTTCCACAGAAATAAATTTTAAAAAGTCCCATCCAAAATTACTATAATTCTTGGGGCACCTGGGTGGCTCAGTCGGCTAAGCGTCCGAATTCGGCTCAGGTCACGAGCTCACGGTCCGTGAGTTCGAGCCCCATGTCGGGCTCTGGGCTGACGGCTCAGAGCCTGGAGCCTGTTTCAGAGTCTGTGTCTCCCTCTCTCTCTGACCGTCCCCCGTTCATGCTCTGTCTCTCTCTGTCTCAAAAGTAAATAAACGTTAAAAAAAATTCAAAATTACTATAATTCTTAAAAGACAAATGTAAACAACATGCCCTAATTTATCTAGAAACCAAAGTGTTTACTGCTTTATGATTTAACACACACAAAAAGGAAAAGAACAATTAAGGTTTCCTGAAAAAAAAAATGAAGAGGATGAATTTTGTTTTCTTAAAAAATGAACATGAAAGGGTACCTGGCTGGCTCAGTTGGGTGGAGCATGCGACTTTTGATCTTGGGGTTCTAAGTTCAAGGCCCATGTTGGGTTTTGAGATTACTCAAAAAAATAAAATAAAATCTTAAAAAAAAAAAATGAACACTGAGGTTTATAAACATAAACTGTAAGCTAATTTCATTTTATTTTAATTTTTTAATGTTTATTTTTGAGAGAGAGAGAGAGACAGAAACAGAGCAAGCAAGGAAAAGGCAGAGAGAGAGGGAGACACAGAATCTGAAGCAGGCTCTAGGCTCTGAACTGTCAGCACAGAGGCCAATGTGGGGCTCGAACCCATGAACCATGAGATCATGACCTGAGCTGAAGTCGGATGCTTAACCCACTGAGCCATCCAGGAGTCCCTAAGCTAATTTTCAAAATATTGATATTAAAATTAATATTTACTATCTTCTTTAAAGGATTCAAACACTTTGCATCTTAGTCCCAGATCTAAGCTATAAACCAGAGAAGAGAAATCCACTTTTTTCCAGATACTTATCCATTTTATTTGTTATTTATCATCTATTCTGAAAAACAGGATGATAATGTTTCAAAAAGTCTGAGATCTCAAGTTAGTCAATGGATCCTTCTATTTTGAAATTATGAAATATTTCAATCATACAGAAAGGTATACAGAATTATATGATGAATACTTATGTATCTATTAAACATTATAAATATAGTTTCAGCCCTTGTATGACCTCCTTAATCACTTTCTTTCCTCTCCCTAGAGACAACCATTATTGTTGCTAGGTACACCAGCTAAATTTTTAAAATACTATTATAAAGTTACATATAAGTATATAATAAAAAAATTTTATGTATTTTGAAACTTTCTATCATATCATACAATATGTCTCTCTGCAACTTGCTTTTTTGGTTCAATATTATAAATGTGAAATTTTTTAAATGTAATACATGTGGCTGCAGTTTATTCTTTTAATTATCCCACGGTATTTCATTTTAGGAGTATACCACAATTTACTTGCCTATGTCTACCCTTCTGTTGTTGGAGATCTAGGATGTTTACATATATATATATATATATGCCTATCTGCTAACGTGATATATATGTGTATATATATAGATATATATGTATACCTATATATACATATATATGTATATTCTATTATAAATGCAGTAGGTCATGGAGTAATGTAAGTCTAGTAAGAAGTCATGAAAATGCCAGATTCTGACTACAACGTCTTTAACGTTTTTCTCCTATGTTTCACTGGGCCAGGGCCTTCCTCAAAAGTAGCAGGCTTTAAATAAAAAAAAATATAATAAACAATACCACAATGAATTTTGAAATTTGTGTACCTTTTTATATACTTTGGATAATTCCTTTAAGATTATTTCCTTGGACCATATTAGGGTATCAGTATTGTGATTCATAATGCATATGCATATATGAGAAGAAAAACATAGGTGGAAACTAGATCCCTAAATATCTCACTATAAACTGCTTTGCTTAAGGTATGTGCTGATTTATAATGTCCCCACATATTTATGAGAGTATCACTAATTGCATAGTCACTAGCACTGAGTACTATATAAATTTTTCTCTCCTAATTAAATAGGAGATATTTTATGATTCTATGTCTTTTGATTACTCTGTGAGATTGAATGTTTTCCAAATTTTTATTTATTTGACTAGAGTATTATTTTATGGCATAAAAATAACAGGGTGATAAGCAATGCCCTATTTTGTATACATACTAGAAGTGTTCCTCATGTATATGCTTCTGCTTGTATGTTCTGAAGATCCACACTCTGGATGACTTAAGACAACAAATGGAAATACCTAAGTTAGGGAGTACTGCACAGACCGAGTGAGAAAGAGGCAATGGAAGTACACAGAATCCTAAAGAGAAGAGTTATATTGTGAATGAAATCCCCAATAAGAGGCTTGCTTTCAGTTAAACCCACTGGAGACCTGGAACAGACACCACACCAAGGAGAGCCATGGAGTTCAACACACTTACAGGCCCTGGGTGAACAATCAGAGGGGGCGGATCAATGCTGTGAGGAGCCCTGTGGGTTTTCAACAATGAGAGCAGGAATGGAGTGAAGGAAGGAAGATGAGACTACAGCAGATGCCCAGAGACAGCAGTGCAGATCAGAAGCCAGAAAAAAGGGTAAGAAACTGTCATCTCTTGGGCATTACTCTATGCCCATTACTCTATGCCCAAGATTTGCTACAGCCTAAACAGTTGGCATCTTGTGCTATTTCACTTAATTCTCAGAATTACCGCAAGAAGTTGGGATTATTTTTTTTCTTTTAGATAAATAAACTAAGGCTCTCTGTGAAGTTCAGAAATGTAGACAAATTCATAGAGTTATGGGTATTTCCACCCAGTCCTAAATCTGTATCTTTCCACTAAACCATCACCTAAAAAGCAGTAGTAGGGGCGCCTGGGTGGCGTAGTCGGTTAAGCGTCCGACTTCAGCCAGGTCACGATCTTGCGGTCCGGGAGTTCGAGCCCCGCATCAGGCTCTGGGCTGATGGCTCAGAGCCTGGAGCCTGTTTCCGATTCTGTGTCTCCCTCTCTCTCTGCCCCTCCCCCGTTCATGCTCTGTCTCTCTCTGTCCCAAAAATAAATAAACGTTGAAAAAAAATTTAAAAAAAAAAAAAAAAAAAAAAAGCAGTAGTAAATCTTATACTGTCTTACACCGAAATACTGAGCAAAAACTGGTCCAGATGTTAACAAGGTTAATGGGTTATCCAAGGCATAGACTAGGCCCAAACAGGTAAGATAGTGGTAGCTCAGGAGCCAACTCTTCAAATACTGAGTAGCAGCAGGGACATACTTTGTAACTTGTAGCCCAACATGATTATCAAGGCCAAGATATTTAAAGGACCCGACAAGGTGAACATGGAGATGTTGTGAAAATCAAACAGCTACAAGCCCCATTAAGCCAGAGGCTGAAGATAGCACTGGAAAGGCTTCTTTCAGTGGCCAAAACAGATTGCCAGGGAGAAGCACAACTAGACTGGTAACATGAAAATAAGATAGATCTGAGTCAGAAAGTCCCCTAGCTGTGTAATTTGGGGTAAATTAGTTGATACTTCTGATTCCTTATTCAACTCAATATAGTAAATAGCTTATTAATCTTAACATAGTCACAAGAAACACAATTTGGCTTTCATGTCCATATCAACATATATCAATCGATGATGCTAAATGCACTTAGACATGATCATGCCTTATTCTACTCTAACACACAAAGTTATTTAACTGCCCTCCAATCACTTTTCACCCGACTTCCCCTCAAGCTAATTATTTCCAAACAAAATGATAATTGCAGAAAATCATGTTTTCATTGTCAAATATTTTTCTAACTCTAGAAAGCACTTTGGGATTTTTCTAATTCACAGTCCACTATCCATCCTCTCTTTCACTTCTAGTTTCCATTACCACCACACTGTCCATAGGTGTTCAAAGAAAGGATAAACACAGACTCAGGCAATGACAAGCAACGCGCTATGCAATAAAAATTGGTGGTTTCACCAATTTTTTCACCCTCTTCATTAAGTAATCTTATTACGAAGCAGATTCTTTCCAAGAACATACAGCCAACGTCTCTAGGACAGGGTAAGAATTTGGGACCTAGGAAAACCTAAACTGATGAAATGGCCCATAAAAATGCCTTTTGGATACCTCTAGGAAGACTTTCAAATCAGCCTAATGACACCTAGGCTGTATCTCATGAAGCTGTAATAGTGTCCGTGTATGGAGAACCTGCAAGAATAAACGTAGAATGCCAGACAAGATGAAAAATGAGCTCAGAATTGCCATATTTTGAACACACAAGAAACCTGGGGTGCAGGGCGGGTTTGAGTCACAGGGATGTTGCCTAGTTCAATAGGCAACAACATGCTGCCTCTCGATGCATCTACAATATTTACATACTCCAAGACAGTCAACAAACATCACCTAAATGAATTAAAAGTCCACTACCACCCACTACCAAAGCATTTTAGTTCATAGTATTTTTCAATCTAGTTACAATTTTTTTTTTTTAAGTTTTAAGAAGGGAAGAGGAGTAAACTGGTGACAAGTTCATAATGTTAATTCAAAATCAGGCTTATGGCCATAGAGAGAACCATCACCACTGGGTGTGAGTCAAGACCCAAGAAAATACTTTTTTGGTTTTCACCATGTAGCTCTTTGATAACCAAATCAACTCACTCACTTACTGCAAAAATATACTCAGACTTGGGGCGCCTGG